GCTGACAAGATTGGTTTCAAAAAAATCAGGGTTATCAATGAGCATTTTAGCAAGTTTCCCCACTAAGTTCAACGATGCTAGATTGCATTTTGCAGCACCAGCCTATATGTGACAACAGTATTCTATGCACGACCGGACTTGCGCTATAAATAATTATATAAGGTAAGAAGCTGCCCCGGCGTGAAGTACCGCCGCACCCTTGCAAGGACACTTAGTTTCCTTGCAGCTGCTTTGGCCTTGGACTCAATGAACCGCTCATAGTTGAGGTTCGGAGAAAATTCAACATCTAACAACTGAAGGCAGTCAGTGTACTCCAAGGATACACTCCGGAAAGTAGGACTAAGGGTGACCGAGCTCCTTTAAGCGTTGTAAAGAGACGCTTGTTTTGGAGGCATTAAGTCACACGAGATTTGGAGACTGCTTGCAGTGAGAGATTCGCACGCTCAACCATAGCTTCTCTTTCGGACTGGGTTTGATCCCGACTGGTTCGGGCATTCGGCTGGTAGCTCTCCACAACTGGGCTGTATTGTCGCGATAGGACTGGACGAACAATCATCGATGACGAACCGGAGAGATCGTTCACTCAGAAAGCCCTTCACCCAGTCTATCAAGCCAGGGGATAAGCCGTACGCTGAAAGCTTGCCCAAAAGGCATGTCAAACCCTGTCAAAGGCCTTCGAGAGATCAAGGGAAATGCAAGTGCTTCCACACTGTTCTCGAGCACTTCGCCACATATGTGAGTGGCATACGCTACAAGGTTGGGGACCTTTTGTTGATCGATTTCGGCGAAACCCGTACTGGCAATCACTGAGGAGATCATTTTGCTCTAGGTATGCCATGAGGTGTGCGTTCAATATACTCTCCACAATCTTGCAGAGTATGGAGATAATTCAAATTGGGCGATTTTTGGCAGAATCGGCACGGCTGCCCTTTTCACGTCAACACAGGAGACAACTCAGAGGCACAGACCTTTAGAACTATAGCTGATATACCATCAGTCCACTAGCTTTGTTCACGTATAGACTCTTCTTTACATGGCAAGGTTTTAAGAACCTCCTTGTTGGTGATACGGAACTGACTGAACTGAACGGACTGTTGGTGATATAGAGGTACCGAAGTGAGGTAATTGAGATGATACACTGTTGCTAATGTCCAGACGCGAATAGCAAGCAAAAAGAGAAGCAAATAAGTTCGCTTACTTCTTAGCCGCATGCGCCAGTGAATCATCTGTTTTTTCCAGGGGAGGCAGTGTAGACAGGCAGAAGTTTGTCTCGACCGCTTTGGCAAGAGACCAAAAAGCTCTACTGCCAGAAGGTTTGACAGAGAGCTTTGCACCGATGCGTTTATTGCGGTCGAAACTGGCTTGCCATAATGCCTTTTTGCAGGAATTGGCGGCTCGGTTAAAGGCTCTCTTCTCATGGCTAATATCCGGAGCTTTGTGGTCTCGACCATCGACCTAGAATAAGTACGACATATGCTTGTGTTTTTCAGCACAAGCGCACTCCGCGTTGAACCGAACGAGACTTCTGCAAAGGGGAGAAAACACTCCATCGCTTGACGTATCCCATCAGTAATTCCATCCGCGCAGCTCAACGGATCTTCAAACGTGAAGCAGACCTGCCGCTAAGGATAAGATGCGAAGAAATATTGCGTCACCTCAACTTGTATCGCCACATTCACCGCACACCTTGGAAATAGTAGTTAGGTGGGGAATATAACGAAACAGATTTCACCATAGTGGTTAGAAGTTCCCAAAGGTGAGGTAACCTGAGCATCGTACCTGTCCGGATCAGTCATCAGAAGAAGGTCGAGACAGTTGGCTGTGTATCCATTCACATCGGGTACCCTAGTCGCTTGTTGTACCATATGGGAGAGCCCCAGTGACAAGGCAAAATTCCACACCTCCCGCCCATTGTGGTCGGTCTTGATGACAGACAAACCAGAAAAACCGTACTGTGCAGTAGGGAACAAATTTAGTCACATTATTATTTACATTCCTGTCTATCAATACCCAGATCGTAGAGAAATTGGGGCCTTCAAGGTGACGAAGACAGCAGATGTCATTGCGGACATACACACAAATTCAAGCGCGCTAGTGAAAATTATGCTTCAATGTCTACCCAGGGTAGTCGAGATACGCCACCCCTAGAGGACATCTGATCTGCGTCTCAGTCAAGAAGAGTATGTGCAGCTTGTCAGTCTCAAAGTGGATGTGGACTGCATTGAGATTACAGTGCAGAACTCGGATGTTTGTGAGGTGCACTTTGTTAGAGAGGGAGTGCAACCGCTGTAAAGACTTACTCTTCTTTTTCCGTTTTTTCATTATTGGTGGAGTGAATAGGTTGAGACAATTTTACAGACAGTTGGACGAGGCGTCACATATATAACCTAGAGACGCAAGCAGGTACCTAGCATGGAGATCGCGGGGATGCCAGTACGCCCTGGAAATCGCCACCAGGCCCATTAATTGCACCCCCCCCCCCCCCACTATCTACGGTCGGCCAGCGGTGCAATGGTGATTCGGATCCCGCTAAATACAAAGAGGAGACGGCATAAGCAACTGTGCACTGTGATTCTAAGTAGGTCCTGTGGGCTACTGCCAGCATTTGCCCTGTGCGCTTGTGTGTTGTAAATCGCAAATCGGTGTATTTTCGTAGAATTAAGAAGAAAATGATGAAGTGTTGTGTTTTATCGTATAAAAACGATAAAACACGAGGCATTAAATCTTAGTCCTCACGGGTGACAACGCATCTGCATTTTCACTCTTAATCGAAGATAGATGTAGATGTCTATGGGCCACAGCAACCACTTACCATCAGGTGGACTGTGTGCTCGTTTGTCACCCTTATCCTATAAAAAAAAACTACTCAGATAGACGCTCTGATGCTTTGGATGGCATTCACATTTAATTTGTAAGTAATTTTACACCTAATTTATAAAAACAATTCTAGAAAAATATCTTTGCTCGGCTTTCAAATATAATTAAATATATTCGACACTAGATGGCAACACTTAGTGCCTTGTGAACTAAAAATATAAAGGTACGTAGAGCTCAGTATTGGTAAAATAATCATATGACACCTTCGTATGTTTTGCATTCAGACATAAAGAATTTCTAATCGCCAAAATATTATTTTTATAGTTTATAATCATTTTGGGAACAGGCCACCATCTACCGTCAAGGTAGCTAAACTACATTGCAACATCGATATAGAACGATTCGAGTAGTTTTACTATTTATCGGTAGATGTAGGTAGTGTAAAGTAAGTGGGGCTTAACATCCCCTCACCCCACAAATTGTGACGCGTTGTTACATAGTGAAATCTAATTACAACACCTCCTCTTTGTATTTGTTTCATGGTCCAGACCCATTCTTCCAAAGAAACCGGTTTCACTTTACATCATACCGGAACTTGCGTTATTTGGCGGTATGTCTTTGCCAGGTCGGTGGTAACTAAACCTCGGCCGGGCCTCTTACTAGTAGAGGTACCAACCTACCACCAGTATCTGGTGCTGCTCGTTTAGCACTACCCAAGGGGTACGTGTAGGGAGTCAGGATTCAAGTCATTCTTGCGGACGCGAGTAGCTTCATCTCCCAAAATCCCAGATTTATATCAATAGTATTAAAGGAGATTTATATCAACAGTATTAAAGGTATAAAATTGAAAGGTAATATAACATTATGTGTAGACGACACAAGTCTGTTTAGTCATCATCAGGTGCTGTAGATGCAGGAGCTGCTGATGGGTCGGCCTCCATGGTCGGCAGCTGGCCCTCATACGTTTGTACCCTCCGTGTCGTTCTTGGGTAAAATCGGCATGATTTAATCCCACTTCTGACACCAATTGTTACGAGCTTGGGGTTCGAGACAATTAAAAACTGCCGATTGAATTACCAAAATTGACACTTTCATTACAGAATGCTAATTACAACTTACCACACTAATAACAAAACACAATTGTACTACTGATCACTTTAGATCGCAGTTGTATCGCTTCGAAGTATTCGATTGTATCGTCAACTCAACACTGACCCCGGTTGTTGTCTATACCGGCCTTACGTAGGCCCTCAGACAGTTCCAGAATCTTCTACTGGCGAAACATCTAGAATGTTCGAGTACAAACCGGTCCCGATTGACTAGGTACCGTATTGAAAGTACGGATTGCATATAATTTAACTATGCTCCACACACATTCAGATTTTTTCAAATTATGATTTTCTCACACTGATCTGTAAGAATGACTCTGACGAGCATTCTGAATTCCGGATCGGAATATTAAGAGTATGATTTCATAACGTGCGTTTTTCTACACATTTGAGCACGCGAGCACACACACATCGGAGTCAGATTATGAATTACATATTTCATTTAACACTGCGAGCGGTAACGGCTAGACAGTCAAAGTAGAAGTCAGTCCCTTGCTCTGTTCACATTAAAAGCATGAATCCAGTGTATTCGTTTGCGTCTCTTTTTTGGGGTTCGCTACCCGAAGGGTAACCAAAGGGATCCTATTACTAAGCCTCCGTTGTCTGTCCGTCTGTATATCAGCGGGCTGAATCTCATGATCCGTAATAGGTAGACAGTTGAAATTTTCACAGAATGTGTATTTCTGTTGCCAATATAACAAAATAAATTAAAAATTAAAGGGGTCGCCCCTACTAGGAACGTGTATTACGATAGTACGGAATCCTTCATGCGCGAGTTCGACTCGCCCTTGGCCGGTTATTTTATTATTTAAAGTTAAAAGTAGTGCGATGATTATTATTATATATTCTTCTTCTATATCCGAGACGTGTGCTTTAGTTGAGAAACACGAGACTACTGATTTATCTGAATTTTTATGATATGTGTGAGGCAGCTTGCAGGAATTCATAATTTGAATTCCGGATTGTGTGAGTCCAACCTTAGACGTAGCATCATCATCGTTCCGGAGGAGACTCAAAATATAGAAAGAGAGATGTAACGAGTTAGTTTTGTATCAGAAAGAGCCAGCGCAGTACCTGGTGGACGGCGCGGTCGAAGTCCAGGCCGGCGTCCGGGCCGGAGCACACGTGCACGCACGGCACCGCGCTCTCCACGGCCGCGCTCGTGTCCTTCACGTTGTAGAACAACGACCACAGGCACTGCAAACGAAACATCACCTATATATCCCAATGGAAATAGATAACAATCAATCTTAAATCAAAATAGATTAAACAAAACTGCTCTGTGGCGCAGTGGCTTAGCACTGAGTTGCGGCGCCTAGAGCCGCGGGTTCAACGGAACAAGTATCTATAAGTCCGGGACTGAATGTTTGTCCTTGTGCAATTTATGTATGTAAACTTCCTCCACGATAAAGGAGAAAATCCTAATGTGGTGGTAACGTTCTTTACAAAAAAAAAAACTAATTTTACGGATTTGTTGAAAGTGACGTGTTTAAGATACATTCAACTCGCCCCCCCCCCCCCCCAACGGGCTACCTTCAGCGTTTGAATATTAATCGATCTAAGCATAAACTAAAATAAGTTAAACTAAACGCGATAAAATAAAAAAGTATTCAATGTCTATAGTTCGTGTAAATATAAGAAATCATTTACGAAATAATTTTTTTTATCTTTATTTATTTAGGAATTTTTGTTTGTTAACATGTTAATCCCATTATGACTAACTTAAAATCTATACATTTAAAATTAATCTGGACATACTCAATGCAATATCCAATGTGGGGGCATGTAGAATGCCTTGCGCAGTACCCATATTGTACAAATTTATTTTATATGTCTTTATAAATAATTCCCTTGCCCTTCGGTTCCGCTCACATTCCATTAAAAATGATGTAAGTCTTCTATTACTCCACAAGTTTCGCAATTAGATGACGAAATAGATTACTTAATACACTCCCATATCTTTCTAAATATCAAATGTACAAATACCAAATGATATAACTTTAGCTGACGTTAATTATTTACCATGCGCTGTCTATCTCATTACTTGCATGTGATTGTATTGCGCATTTGAAACTCTGTCAGATGAATGAATGGGATATGGCGTTCGCCGGATATACAGCCTATCTTCATAACGTTTGAGTCAACTAAATGAGTTGTTCGACCTGTTTCTTCAGTCTTATTGCCAAGATGTAGGGTAACTTTTTAACATTAATTATTTCTGCCCAATAGATTGCCTCATAGGGCGATATTTGCTATAAGTTGTAAGTAACAGTGGTAGAGCCACGCGGCAGAATTGCTGTCGCACGGATGGGCCGGCTCGAACCGTGGTGGTACCACGACCTCACAGAATACCAGCGTGAAGTAAAGGTTTACCTCTGCGTTTCGCTTGGTGAGTGCAGGTTGCCGGAGGCCCTTTTTACTGGAAATGAGGCATTTCATCTTAGTCCTCACGGATGACAACGCATCTGCATTTTGATTCGCAAACGAGGATAGATGTAGATGTCTATGGGCCGCAGCAACCACTTACCACCAGGTGGACTGTGTGCTCGTTTGTCAACCTTATCCCATAAAAAAAAGTTGAACATCAGAAAAAAAATGTGTAAATGAGTTTAAAAAATACTATGTTGCAACTAAATTCTAGGAGTAGTAAGTATGAGGTAGATCTGATAATGGACCACACATCGCACAAACTACCACCATATAAATCAGAGCGTAATACTGTAAGGAACTGGCAATTGCGTCAATGTTTTTAATTTGTGTGAAACTTCATTACCCTATTTACACTATGGAATATGCCAGAGCTATCTGATCGCTTCCGACAGATGGCAGTATAACCGTCTTGTATGTACTTGATTTTAAAATAATCACACCGGCGCATACCAGCGTCAAAGGTGTGAAAGTACTAAGCTTGCCAAGCCGCCTGCCACGTGGCGATTATGGCAAATCGTCTCACCAACGGGAGAGGTCGATGCCCAGCGGTGGACTGCAACGGGTTGATGATGATGATAATGAATGCTCTTCATCTAATCCTTCGAAGATTATCACACAAAACCATCTAAGTTAATTCTATTGCGTGGACTAGAATTAACTTAGATGGTTTTATAAATAATTAAGTCTTAAGTAATGTGTACTTCAAAGATACGCTTTTACTTGCGTATCTTTGAAGTACACATGAGGCAATCCAAGGTCACGCTTTGTAGAACGCTCCAAAGAGTATGGTAATATTTAAAAAGAACCCCTCAGAACCAAAGAGTATATGATCACTACCTTTAGTCAGAACCATAGTTGTGCTCAGAACAATTATTTTTTAAATGTTATTTATATGAATTATAAAACTAAAATTTTATTAGAATTAGTTTCGTTACTAAATTACGCTTCTTTCTAAAGTCTTTTTAAAGTTTCCGCCTTTACCTACGCGTCGTGTTTACGTCACATACTGTAGTCTTATTTCCTTCGCCGCGTGAGTGTAAGAGGCAACTACAAATAAAAAAGAAATTAAGTGGGTGCAATAGAAAGTTTTTTGTTAGTTTTTGTATAAAAGGTAAGTAATTACACTATTTTTAAAAGTTAATTCCTTATATTTTGCTTCGCAACAATTTTATACACTTTATAAAATTTCCATTTCAAATACTGTGTCGTTCACGTATCACTATATTTAAGAGCCAGAATTAACTGATAATTAAATATAAAGTGTGAGTTATCACAATAAATCATGTAATAAACATAAATTTTAATATTTCACAAAGTCCAATATGCGAAAATTACGTTTTATGTTATAATTTCGATATACATATAGTGAACATTATGGCGAAGTTGTTTTCAACAATAATTAAAAATTTTATTCCACCGACTTCAATATAAATTATTAAGAATAACATTATTATTCAGTCCTTGATCAAATTTTAATGGGACCACATGTGAAGCACCAGCTTTCAAATAAAAAAAAGAATCATCGAAATCAGTTCACCCAGAAGGAGGTTATGAGGTAACACATAAAAAAACATACAGTCGACTTCCTCCTCCTGTTTGAAGTCGGTAGAAAAATGACGTTGGTCAAAGATAGCGTAATAAAGTATATACCTATGATTTAATTTTTTTGTGGCTGCTACTGAGTATATCGATATAATTATATAATATATTTTTTTCTTTTATGAAAATCGATTGTTTCTATATTCTTGTTTCTTTCTTTATAGTATTTATTTGATTTTAACATATAGACATTGAATTTTAACATAATATGGCGATTCGTTAGATTCGCCTTAGTTGTAGAAGTGACATAATATTTTTTTTCTTTTCAGTAGAATTGTTTGGTTTTGTTATTTATTACTGTTATACACACAAAAATATTTTTTCAAATAATAAAATTAATCCCTCCCTTTCCTTACAGTTTCCGTCCGCTGCTGGTCATGGGCCATGGAAATAAAGGGGAGGAACAGAATTTTACTGCCACAAATATTACCCACCTTTGCAACGCTGCCCTAAACATCGCACGGAATATCCGCGTTCCACCGAGACAAAATTTAGAAAAAATATTCGCCTTTTTTTCCTCCCACATTTTTTTCTTGTCATTAATACAACAAACACCGTTACATGCTATAAAAACCCCCACTGAACATAGGCCTCCACTACATTCCTCATAGAGAGTATACTTGTCATAGTTGCCACGTCCTGTTCCACGGTACACGTACCTTGTTACAGCACCACAGTAACAAGGTACGTGTACCGTGGAACTGAACAGTGGATCAGTCGCCTCTTACGAAACCCACGGAATGATAAGAATTTTCATACACTGCCACTACACAGTAATTGATAATTTCTCGAAACATTTCATTTATCGACAAATCGCTTTTCAATCGTCGTTACTCTAGCGCTCACCTGATCTTTATACAAATAATTCGATATTTTAATTGTTGATAATTTTTTTTATTTTTGGATAAGAACATAGTAATGAATCTAATTTATATTTACCATTTTTTTTAAATGTCATTGGCCTGACCTACTATACTCTTTGGCTGACCATAGTTCTGACTAAGTATGTCCAATAAAATGTCAAGGTCTGAGAGGTTAACATCTAATATGGGATGCTCCCAGTGGTGCCAAAATATAATCATAAACTCTGGAAATGACTTTGAGAGCATACCTTAGGTTTTTCCGATTCCACTGTCTGATCACCTCCGGACATGTCGAAAATCTTCTCTGCGTACGGTTTTAAGTCAGTCTCGGCGTCCGTCACTTTGTTCGTTATAAAATACACCACGACTGAAACAAAATGATTTTTTTTATTATTATTTATGTTAAGGGGAAAAATATGAAATGGCATGAAAAGAATTTCTACTTTATTAAATGAAATACATCTGACGTGTTATAGTTTATGCGTGATCATTTCACTTTATTATCTAAATCGAGTAAAGCAATAGCAATAAAAATGTGAAATGACCATGAATGCTAAGCGAAACCTGTTCACCACACAGTTCACCTGATGGTAAGTGGTTGCTGTGGCCCATAGATATCTACATCTATCCTCGTTTGCGAATCAAGATGCAGATGCGTTGTCAACCCTGAGGACGTAAATGGAATGCCTCTTTTTCATTAAAATGGGTCTCCGGTTCTCTACACTCACCATACGAAACACAGCAGCGTTAAGCTGCTATTTTACGCTGGTATTCTGTGAGAGCGTGGGCCTTCCCCGGTCGAGCCGATCCATTCGTGCTACAACTATACAATTAATATAGCTGCAGCATGACTCTACCACGTCAAAAGCGATACGGTTTTTAGACAATGTGTTGCTACATTAAAACATGGGGTGACACCGCGTCACAATAATTTTTGTAGTAATTTATATTTTTATAGAAAAAACTTGAAAAACAACTTTACTATTATATCTATGATTGAACAGTTTAAAATCACTTGCGGAAATATATCCGTACTTATTGTTAGCACTCGTAAACATTCCTGAAGCTTTTAATTATAACATTGTAATTGCATTAAGATTACTTAGAGGCGATAAAAGTGAAACAATTGATCTATTTTGTTCATACAACTATAATTTTTAATTTATTTATGTATTATTTTATTATTTAAATATTTTTTATTTAATGATTGAAAAATGGGCCTTAGACATATAAACAAAAGACAAATATCATATATCGGTTTTTCGGTTTTGTCAGATTAAATTTATTCTACAAATCTACCTAATTACGATATATAAAACTTTATATAAACAAGACAGCAGGTTTTCAATCATGAGATAAAATTTGTTTTTGTGTTAAAATACAACATAAATAAATTAAAAATGACAGTTGTACGAATAAAATAGTGCAATTGTTTTACTTTTATATTCAATCAGATTATAATTTATTCGAAAGATAATATTCATCTGGCAACTTTTTTTATAGAATATGGGTGTCAAACGAGCACACATTTCACCTGATGGTAAGTGGATGCTGTGGCCCATAGCATCTATATTTATACTTGATTAAGAATAAAATGCAAATGCGTTGTCACCCGTGAGGACTAAGATGGAATGCTTCGTTTCCAGTAAAAAGGTTCACATGAAACACAGTAGCCTTAAGCAGGTCGAGCCGACTCATACAACCATAATGTAGATGCAGCGTGACTCTACCATGTATAAAACATAATAATAAACCGTTAGTTAAATAAAATGTCGTTAACTCAAATATATCAACCCTGATAAAAAATATACTATATAACGGTGGGCATTGAATCAACGAACGGCTTTTTAAAACAGCCAGGAAAAACGATAAATCAAACTGTTTTAAAACCTGTTGACAAAAGCACGAAAAACGGACAACGCTGATACCACGAGGATGAGAGGAACTATGTAGAGTTACCTACATAGTTCCTAATAGCTAGGCTACAAAAACAAGGAGCAACAAAAAAGATAAATGGCAATATTAACGAAATAGAATGAAGAGTACGTATTTAGACGAAATGCGACCTTAATATTTAAAGCATAGAATAAATAATATCTCCTCAGTTATATTTCGTAAGAACAGTTAGTAGGGTAGGACAATCTCAAACGTCGCGTTTATGCCAGACTTTAACCGATACATACAATAGTGACGGTGACTGAAGACAGCGTCATACTGACAGATTGTAGACCAGTGGTTATTAATCGGTGGTCCGTGGACCACCCGAAGTGGTGACGCAGGCATCATACAATACTCTCACGTATACTGCCGATACGGTTTCTATACAATGTGTTGCTACATTAAAACAAGGGATGACACCTTGTCATATTAATTTTTGTATGTGTTTTATTTATAGAAGAAACTTGAAAATCAACGTTACTATTATATCTAAAGTTTTTTTTTTTTATAGGATAGGGTGACAAACGAGCACACAGTCCACATGATGGTAAGTGGTTGCTGTGACCCATAGACATCTACATTTATCGTCAATAAAGAATCAAAATTCAAAATGCAGATGCGTCGTGAGGATTAAAATGGAATGCCTCTTTTTCCAGCAAAATGGGTCTCCGGTTCTCTACACTCACCATACGGAACACAGCAGTATCAAGCTGCCATTTTACGCTGGCATTCTGTGAGAGCGTGGTCCTTCCCCGGTCGACCCGCCGACCCATTTGTGCTACAACTATACTACTATTATAGCTGCAGCATGGCTCTACCACGTAAAAAAAGGTTGGTGGTCCATGGCAAAATAAAAATCAGTTGAATGGTCCCTGATCTCTAAAAGGTTAAGAAACACTAGACGAATGGTGTTAGGCTTTTAGGATGTAATCGCTAATCGGCCTACTAAGTTTGGTAATTTTTAAATAATAATTAGTATTTACTATTTCGCTATATTAGAAGGGTTGATAACCAAAATCTTCTTCTTCTACCTAGCGTTTATCCCGGTTGCTCATCCCGCCCAGCGCGGGAGGACCCAGGGTCCGCTTTCCTACACTTCCTCCTCCACTTTTCCCGGTCTTCGGCGTCCCTCGCAACTAGCCCATTGGCGCGCTAGTCATCCTGCACGACTCCTCTACTCCTGGTAACAGGTAGGGTCATGTCCAGGCATTTGTTTCCAACGTAGCTTGCCGGTCGTCGTAATACGTGGCCATACCAGCGGAGGCGACTTTCCTGCAGCTTGTCAGCAATGTCACGGACATGGAGGCTGCCGCGGTTGTATGTATTCCGTACACGGTCTTTCCGCGTGACGCCACACATACACCGCAGCATGTTCATCTCCGTGACATGCAACAACTACCGGCGTCGCTCCAGCACCGGCCACGCCTCACTGCCGTACGTAAGGACAGGCCTTATGATGGTCTTATAGACCTGTCCCTTCAGCTTGACCGGCATTTTGGGGTCACAAATGACACCCGTCACCTCGCGCCATTTCGCCCAAGCCGCTGATATACGGGCCTTGATGTCGCGATCGATGTCCCCGGACGCATCGAGCACAGATCCGAGGTACCTGAAGTTGTTCGTGCGCTCGACGGTGTCGTCGCCTAGTCAGATCTGTGCTGTTGCAGGCCATATACTCCGTCTTCGCCACGTTTAGCTTCATAGGTTGATAGCCAAAATGAAGTATTTTATATTTTTTAAACCCAAAATGAAATATAATTGTTAATCAATAACGTAACTGTGTTAAAACGTAATTAAGCGTTTATAGCTATAAATACGTTTAGTATTTCACAAAACACGTTTTGACTGAAATTAGAAACTGGAGAACACGCCTTATTAGCCATTTTTAACAGTGGTAGAGCCACGTGGCAGCTTTTGCTGTCGCACGGATGGGCCGGCCCGAACCGGGGTGGTACCACGACCTCACAGAATACCAGCGTGAAGTAGAGGTTTACCTCTGCGTTTCGCTGGTGAGTGCAGGTGGCCGGAGGCCCTTTTTACTGGAAAGGAGGCATTCCATCTTAGTCCTCACGGGTGACAACGCATCTACATTTTGATTTGTAATAGAGGATAGTGTAGATGTCTATGGGCCGCAGCAGCCACTTGCCATCGGGTGGACTGTGTGCTCGTTTGTCACCCTTATCCTATAAAAAAAACCATTAATTACGTAAGCGTCAAAATAGAAATAAGCAAATTTATAAAAGGAGAAATACAATTCGTTAGGGAGCAGAATGATAAAAAACAATTCAGTTTTAACATAAAAAGAATAAAATAAAAGTAAGCTTATGCAAAATTATGCAAAACGTATGCACAGTTTCAGAGCTACCGTTTAACTAGAAGTGGGTCAACATAAGTTAAAATGAGTTCATTCTGGGTGTTAAGTGAAGAGTTGTTTACCGGTTAAGCTGATTATATTTCATGCTTCCATGGACAACAGCAACTAGATGGCTTTGCGACACAAGCACCTCACACTATGTATGAGGGCTCTTAAAATAAAAAATCACTAATGTGGTTTTCAAGAAACGAAAGTTTACATTTATTATTTTGAACTGAAAACTGAATCGCAATTGCGCAAGGCTGAAATAAAGACGTTATATTATGATTCGTGAAACAACAGGACATATTTGGGTGTGTATTTTTTTAGTGCTTGACTGCAATTCCACTTGACGGTAAGTGGTGATGAAGCCCTAGATGGTAAATCGCAATTTCCAAGCGTAACAAAAGCCAATTTACTCTTGTTAAATGTAACAAGCGATTAAAAGATAGAGACTTCCATGACTGATTTGATATTGGCAGAATTCTTTTTAGATTTCCAGTAACCAAATAATGTGATAATAAGAGATAGGAATAAATAAAGGAAGTGTCCATAAATACTATATATTTTGCCGTATAATAGCGGCCTAGTGCAATACAGAAGCGAAATGGGAAATGCCGGAGAAATGTTATGTCTACCGATAGATGTAACATGCCCAGACCGACGACGGGCAACCAGCGTCAAAAGTGCGAGACGTCATTAATACTTTACCGTGTAGTGGCGGTGTAAGAATATCCTCAACGCCATATCATCCCGTAGGTGTTGTAAGAGGCGACAGATATAAACAAATCAGGACTAAAATTAAAAAAAACTGCGGTTTGCCAACCCACTTGCCTGGCAACTATGGCAAATATGGGGCATATCTGGCAATGAGGCAATCTATGGGGGAGGTAATATTCACCAGTGGACTTTAATCGGCCGTTACGGAACGGAACGGACATTAGTACTGCGATCGTCAATCCACCTGTCAAATGTAACAATTAAGGCAAATCCTCCCTACAACCACCAGCAAAGGACTTTTGCGAGCTGATGCAGAAGAAGTTGCTGCCGGCTATGATCTAAACACAAGACATTTTATTATAGAACCAGTGATTTCTGGATCTCGACAACAGCGGCACTTACCGGGTCCTGTTGTAAATCTAAACCATCTAGGAACCCATTCAAAAAACACACACAAAAAATTTTATCAAAATCGGTCGAGCCATTTTTGAGTTTTAGCGAGACTTAACGGACAGCAATTGGTTCTTATATGTAAGATAATAAGGGTGACAAACGAACACACAGCTCGCCTGATGGTAATTGGATGCTGTTACGTGGTTCTACCCCGGTGGAGCCGACCCGTTCGTGCTACAACCATAATACAGCTGCAGCGTGGCTTTACCACGTGTTTATACGAAGTTTATTCAATTGAGGAGTTCAGCATTCAATGATATAAATTTTTAACGTGGTAGAGCCATGCTGCAGCTATATTAATACTCGTAGTATAGTTGTAGCACGAATGGGTCGGCTCGATCGAGGAAGGACCACGTATAGTGAGTGTAGAGAACCGGAGACCCTTTTTAATGGAAAAGAGGCGTTCTATATTAGTCCTCACGGCTGACATCTGCATTTTAATACGCAAACGAAGATAGATGTAGATGTCTATGGGCCGCAGCAACCACTTACCATCAGGTGGACTGTGCACTCGTTTGTCACCCTTATTCTATTTAAAAAAAAGAATTATTTGCTTTTAGCATGACCTTAAATTACTTAAAATTTTGTCACTTATGTACGAGTAATGCTATCGGATTTAGTACACATTTTTATCTTTTGATTTAGCCATATCTTAATGACAAACTGTAGTTCGTCCACAATAAGTAAAATCGTTTGCTTGTTCTTTTCCTGTTGTTTCTTGTTATTGCTTTATTGAAAACAATAATAAATAATAGATAATTAACCTTTTAATTTCTTATTTTTATTAAATTACAATAGTTTAAATTGGTTAACATAATATTATGGTTATGATTGAAAATGCTTTATTAATTGGGACTACGAGTATGTTTTCTTTCATAGCCGCAATAACGTTGGGGCTTTCGACAAATGGCAGCAAATCGGTCTTTTTTTTCACGGATTCGGAATATGGTTTCGTCCATAGCCGCAATAACGTTGGGGCTTAATTCTATAAAAAAAAATGTCATGGCAGCACAATAGGTATTTGTTAATTAATAAGCAACGCTGTTCCCCATATAATAATTGCCGCATGCAGTTAAGGTCAATATTTTGACAGATACTTTTTTAACAGATGGGGTGACAAACGAGTACAAAGTCCACCTGATAGTAAACTACATCTATCCCACATTAAGAGTCAAAGTGTACTGCGGACTGAGATGGTAAAGTAACATCAGTAAAATGTGACAAGAGTCATATTATATAGCTAGATTTGACAAAGATCACACAAAAAACGCGGAACTTACATAATCCTTTCGGGCAGGATCCAGTAGCGGGGCCAACTTCAAGCACTGTGACGGCGCCACCGCCCTCGATAAGCGGCGGGAACCGGAGCAACGTTAGCGGCTCCTTCTCGCTCTTCATTATAGTGCCGTTGGTGATGAACACCGCCTTCGAAATATCACAAGTCTCCGCTGGCTCGGGTGAGACCAAGTCCTTGGGGCAAAATAATCACATTTTATGGAGCACAAAATTATATGTAAAATAAAGTCTATAAAGGGTTATTTTGCAATAACCGGCCAAATTTCCAAAGGTGCAGATTATAGATAATATAGGCAGATGGAGAAGAAAAATTAATTTAAAAAAAAATCTCAAACATTCTGTCCTTTTTATCATTTAAATTCAAAATGCGTGGTATTGCATTATTTTAACTGATTTTACTGCGCACGCACACATTTGTAAGGATCGACCGGTAGGCAAAAACGTTATTGCACAAAAATCACATTCAATTTGCGATAACTTCAAATAAAAGTAAGAGCCTTATTTACTCGTTATTTCAAAAACTGCGATTACGGTATACCTATCATTATTTATATATTTGAACTTAATTATAAAATTTGGCTACTCTTTGAAAAAATAACCCTGTATAGCGTCTTAGGTACTTAAGATTAAGACTTCACATCAAAATATATTTCTTTTACCCAAGTATCCACTCCATTTTTCTAGTTTTTCAGCATAACCATTCATCTATTCCATCCATTACAGCCTATAAAAGTCCAGTGGTGCACATAGGCTTCCCATGGCTGGCAGATTGGCAATGAAGTTTTTATTATTAATTTTGAGTTTTTGTCAGGAAGACGCTGCTACATATTAGCTTCCTTTTTTATAAGAGAGGGGGCAAATGAGCATGCGGCTCACCTGATGGTAAGTGACTACCGCCGCCAATGAACAACCGCAACACCCGGGGAATTGCTGATGCGTTGCCGTACTTTACAAAGGTTAATAAATAACATTTTTAATTTTTAATTTTTTGGTTAATAAAAAGCTCTTTTCTGTAGCTCTGTCGCCTCACCCATGGGACGATATGAAGCAGTGAATATTTAGTTTAAGCATAAAAGAAATAATTACAGTTAATATTATTTACAAAGAATATTAATAAATAACAATTGCCAAGTTTTTTCTCAGTCTCTAGTTCTTACATTTTAATTATAACCTTACTAACCTTGGGGCACTCATTGATGCCAATAACCAAGTGGTCGCAATTCAGAGTTTTGGACTTGCTCTCGATCACCACCACAGTCTTGCCTTCATCCACGGTTTTGGTCGCGACCGTGTCAATGGGTCGGTTCAAGCAATACACGCCGCCGAACACTGCGCATAGCCTATAAATAACGTACTTCGATCAACACAAACACTTCTATATAATTTTTTTTTTTTACTTATTATAAGCCAGTGCTTGAATTGAGTAGTAAGTGTTTATGAAGCCCTAGATGGTAAATCGCAATATCTTAACTTTACAAAAGCCTATTCACTCTTGTCTTGAAGACGCCCATATTGTAATCGGACGGAAAGACAGACGCCGGCAGATTAATTCTTCGTTGGACGCATTATGATAGTACTCTCCAAAAGCCAACCAAAGAAGCAATTTATAAAGCTAGCTCGTTTAAAGAAGCGTCCGACATAACATCATAGTGCAAAAGCGCAAATAGTCATAGGCCTGAAGCGAATCAGGCCAGCGGCGTCAGCTAAGGTGATTTCCTATAATCGTTCACGCTAATCGAAACTTTAAAATCACGTAACAGTCACACAACATTGAGATAATATCATTTCCATTCATTTTTATAGTTTTATATTTATCACCACCATTACAGCCTATTAAAAGCCCACTGCTGATCCATAGCCCCCCATAAAATGACTCCTATGAGGGATATTTGCCACTATTACCATGCGTGGCAAACGAGTTGGGAGAGTCCTTCTTATTATTTTTAAATTGTACCCTCTACCACCTCTACATCACCCACGGAATGGTATTGGTTAGTGGATTCACCTACGCCGTTACCACACTGCACGGTTTCTATTAGCTTTAACGATTGTAGAAATTCAACCTGAGTAACTCCGCATCTATGTAAATCTACTCCGTGGTATGTTACCAAAATTCTTATACCATTAAACTAGAAATGTAGAGATGCATTCACTCAGGCCACCATTATGCGACAAAAGTTGTGCTAATTTTAAGGCAAGTTTACCTACGTCATTATATTTTTTTTATAGAATTAGGGTGACAAACCAGCACACAGTTCACCTGATGGTAAGTGGATGTTGTGGCCCATAGACATCTATCTTGTCATCCCTGAGCCTACTAAGATGGAATGCCTCATTTCCAGTAAAAAAGGTCTCCGATTCTCTACACTCATCATACGAAACACAGCAGCATTAACCTGCTATTTTAAACTGATATTCTGTGAGGGCGTGGTCCTTACTCCGGTCGAGCCGAACCATTCGTGCTACAACTACAATATAGCTGCAGCATGGCTCTACCACGTGTGTAAATATGGTACGGTTATATCGCCTTTTATCGCTTCTCTTAATCGTAAGGGGAAATGCCAAATTAGATCATGTGGCTTGCGACAAAATGGCGCGAAATAACCTACTTAGAGCGGTGTAGGGGTGTCCACTATGAAAATACATCGATGTATTTTTTCGATGTGATGCATCGAAACTGTGCATCGATATATTCCGATGCATCGGTTAAAAACATCGATGTTTTTTCAACATCGAGTACTTTTTCTGACTTCAAACAACCGACAATTTTGAATGATCTACTACTCTTACATCAGTACTGTCTGCCCGCACGCCTTTTGTGAGTGTGTATGTGTGTTCAAGGATGTTAGTTCGATAGATAGATATTCTTAATTGCATGACACACAAAGTGTCTTATTCGTAAGAACTAATATATTGTTAACAGACGTAAATATTCATAGTTATTTATTTGTATTATTTATATTTGTATGTTGATGTGTATATATGTATGTATACGTCTGTATGCATATATTTGTATATATGCATAAATAGGAGATATTTCTATAGTATATTTGTTTTATATATTTGTAAAATTAATATATAACTTAGTTAATTATCATTTTTACTTTGTTATTATTTTATACTGCTACACCTACGTCAAATTCTCGTGGGTTGACTGGTAGAATTTTTTTTTGTATTATTCCCTTTGTATTCTTTTATATCAAGGAATGCAATAAAGAATAAATAAATTATTATTTATGATCATTCACCTACTACTAAATGGACGGCGGATCTAGAACAAAATTCACGAAAAATGTGTCCCGAGTCAACCTATACAAACGTATTATATATATAATTTTACTTGCGACAATTTATCAGCCTTTTAACTTCAACAAGAGGCTGCATTCTTTTCGCCTTATGAAGCTTCTAGCGAAAAAAATCGGTATGGTTTTTTGTTTTTACAATTAATGTGAATTTTAATTAAATACTACGTATATTGTATCTAAACAAAATATTATTTTTAAATTATTAAATATTAATAGTTTAATATAAATAGTATCGAAAAAATATATAAATAGTTTTGCTCGTTTTGTGATACTGTACGGCAATTTGGAGTGTATTATCGGGCGACAAAACGAAGACTGGCGTTCAATTCGAGCTCTTTTTGCATTTTGGAACTCTTTTCGCTCGGACACTTTTGAGCGCATAGCCGAGGTCCATTTAGTAGTAGGTCAATGTTTATGATATTATTTTAAATGATAAAAAATGATACATTCACAATAAAAATACTTACATATGGAATACAACTCCATCTTTTTGTACAACTTTAAGTATTTGACTGCTTTATGCACACGTTAACCGCACCGATTGGCATTTTTCAAAAAACACCTACTTCGGCGGAAATGATTCTTATAGGGATAAAAATCTAGTGCGTTTATAAAAACGATTCTGTAAGCAGGTTTAATCAACGCACAAGATTTTTAAATCCAATACTTTGGCAGAGGGCAATAATCATGCGAGGCGAGTCCACTGTGTTAATTTTTTTTATAGGATAAGTGTGACAAACGAGCACACAGTCCACTTGATGGTAAGTGGTTGCTGCGGCCCATAGACATCTACATCTATCCTCTGTTACAAATCAAAATGTAGATGCGTTGTCACTCGTTAGGACTAAGATGGAATGCCTCATTTCCAGTAAACAGGGCCTCCGGCCACCTGCACTCACCAAGCAAAACGCAGAGGTAAACCTCTACTTCACGCTGGTTTTCTGTGAGGTCGTGGTACCACACCGGTTCGAGCCGGCCCATCCGTACGACAGCAAAAGCTGCCGTGTGGCTCTACCACTGTTTAAAAATATAAATATATATAAATGGTCTAAAGGCGTCAACTCACTTGCCTGCCGCAGGGGCAATCTAGGGTGTAGAAGTGGGGATCACCCTTAATTTCCTCCTTAATTGTGATGTGTGTATGAAAGCAGGGTTAATTTGCTAAGTCGGCCCTGTGGCTGGGCGGCAGGGGCGCAAGAACTTCTTTGCTCCCTAGATCATAGCTACCGCTGCCACGTGTGTAGCACCATTGGAACAATTTCAATCAGTTCGTTAGTGACTTTCGCGCGCAGCACACTTCACAATAGATATCAATAAAACATGTGAAATTTGGATACTGGTGATAGAAGTGTATAAACAGCGGCTTCTTCACCCATTATCTCCTTTTTGTTTTTTTTTACGGCAGCACCGCAAAAGCAACGTTATTTGAACGTTGTAACGTTTTTAAACGTGGTAGAGTCATGCTGCAGCTTTTAAGGACTGTGTTATGGTTGTAATTATTAATTAATTAGTTGTTTTATCAGAAATATGGGTGTCTATGGGCCACAGTATCTCCTTAACATCAGGTGGACTGTGCTCATTTGTCACCCTTATTCTTTATAAAAAAAGAACCAAGGCTATATTTACAGATTCATTGATATTTCGATAAAACTAGCGCCATTCTCAACGCATGTGTCAACCGAGGTGTACACTTTCATACTGAACGGCAGGCATGTGTATAGAGAGACAATTCTGATACTGTCCCGATCGCTGTTCATCCTAGATTGCCCAGCGGCATGCAAGTGAGTAGCCGCCTTAAAACCGAGACAGACCAGACGATTTTTTTTCGATTCTATTTAGCACAGTGTTTCCAACCAGCCAATTTCTTGATTTCGCTAAGGACTGACAGCTGCCAAGTAGCACCACCAACAGGTTTAATATTATACCTTCTAAATCAGAGCGCTGTTTTTCTGAGTTAGAAGTTATAATATTAATAGTGATATAAGTATACCCATTTTACCATTGGATGGTTATCATTGATTCGATGTTTTATGAAAATACATCGATACATCGAGTGTATCAATAACTTTCCAAAACATCGGATCGGTTCGATGCATCGTATTGTAAACATCGAGTGAATTCGATGCATCGATGTATATCGAATATCCCTAGAGCGGTGACTAAGAGCAGCAAACGCGTGAGATATCTGTAGAAATGTGATCACAAAACTGCCAGCCAAGCGTGACGATTACGGCAAATCTTTCCTACTAAAGAAACAGGCTGGTAAAGAAATCGAAGAATAATCATTTAAAATAAAATTACGTCAAGTCGAAGAATGTTAATAATATTTTTTTTCTTACTTTTGCTTTTGAAGAAAAGAAAAATATCAACGGTAAGAATTTCTCTTGTACGTTACATAAATTGCACATGGAATAACATTCAAAGCCAGAACAATATAAAAATATTTGAAGGCCATACAAATACTTCTTGCGTTCGGAATCGGAACCCGCAGCCCTTGACACACAGTGAACGCAAATTTATTTCCGTTATAATTTTTTTTAAATATAATTAGAAAACATTTGAATAACAAATATGTTATATAATAATACCAAAACAAATGAAGCGGTTTTAATAACTTTTTCAAGTTCTTATCGAGACAACATTATAGGTAAATTTTTATCTTAAAAATAAGTTACTTTAAAAATATGTAAACTACTTTGACGAAGACGCGGAAATTTAGTACCTATAGGAATATACCGCAAGGCGAATATTCCAAGCAACATTGTTTGAAAAGAGAATGTTAGCTTGGTACGGCAATGCCAATTTATAACTAAAAAAAGACTGAAATGCTGAAGTTAGAACTTTTTATTAACGAAATCTCAATACTCGCGGCGTTAATAGTTGGAAAGGCATATTTTTGTGCGCCAGTAGAGTGATGCACATCTAGGTCATTGAACTCTGGTAGAAACGACTACACTTAATTGTCGGATTTGCACAGGCCACGCGAAACGTTCATATTTTTACTTCGTATCTATCTAATTTTAATAACATCAATAATTTCAAGATAGTCATTTTCTGTTTCAATTTACTTTATCGCCTAAATGATTTGACATTGTCCAACATTACATTAGTTTCTTTTTAGAACTTTGGATTTGTTCCTAGTAATTTATGATAAGGATTTAGCACAAATTGATCGAAGCGGTCGAAGTAAGCTTACCAAAGTCAGCAAGGTCCGTCAATATTTAGTGTCCAAAAACAAAAAACTATAGATAAATCTAATTGTGCATTCCTTAAGCGCATTATAAAAATTACGTATCACATAGTTATACCTTAATCTTTTAAAATAGTTTAAATACACACGACTTTTCACTAATAACCTTATTACTATACTTTTCCGATAATTTTATGTCAAACTTCAATTAAAAAAAAAAGTTTGGAAAATCCGAAAGTGCACGACTCATAATGCTCATATGATCATCATATCATCATTCAGGTCACTATATAAAGTCCAAGACGTATTTAAGTAATCCTACTTTTAGTACGTAGTACTATTATTTACTCTGTGCTTTTAAAATATTGTAATAAAAATCTGTGATTATAATAATAAAGTATGTATCAAATTTGGTTTTTCGAATATTTTGTATTTGTACATTTGTACATCTTTTTGAGCACGAGCCGCTGCAAACAAGCCATACAGTATCCACTGGTATTCACTAACGACAGCAGCCGAGTCCGGACTGAATGAGGCAGTCTATTTAGTAAAGTAAATTATTACAAGGCTGCTCAAAACACCAAAAATTTCGGCATTTCTCAGCCGAGAAAATTTAATTATAACTAAACAAAAAAAATTAACTGACATTTGTATTCCATGGCTCCCCATAAGATAGATAAAAGAGATTAAAAAATAGATTGGGTTGAACAATTGATATTTTCAAAAGTTATCGTGTTTACGCCTCCATACGGACTTGATAAATCCCCACCATAAGCCACTACAACCACTTTTTTACGTAAAAAAAGCAATTAATCGCTTTATTAAAAAAAATTATAAGTTCACCAATCATTTAACTTTCTGAAAATGTACTTTTTATATTATTTATATGTACAATATGATTGCTAGATACGATTTCACCTGACAAAACGTTGGAATCTTGATTTTTAGGCCCTAGTAGAACATCCTACGCGCTTCGCACTTAAAGCATGCAATACATCAGTACCAAATTTTGAAATGTTAAAAATTGTTTGGCACAAAACGGATAATAATGGCTCTGTTTTTCAACGTAGAATTTTTTAAGCGTCTATTTGAATAAAATCATTGTAAAACTTTCTCATCTTATAATTAATAGCCTAGTAGGTATGTATCGCGTCATATGGTCAAGCCTCGAATATAACAGTAGAAAACTCACAAATGACTTTTGTGCAATTAATTGGATAAACCTAGCTCGAAATATAATGAGATGATAGCAAACCTAATGGACATGAGGCTAAGTATTGAGACTATCACTATCACTATGCCAATCGAATGAAAAACATTCAGACATTATTTGATTTTATTATTATGTTTTATGTCATAAACATAAATTGTGACGCCTGTTACCCAGACGTAGGCAGTAGACAGAGAATACGGACTTCCATTTGGCACTATCCTGACACACCCCTCTCGCTTTTTTAACATCCATATATCTACGCATACATGCTTGTCGGTTAAGGGTACTTATAATTTTAATATATCACCTATTTGGTTGATAAACTTCAATCTAATGCGTCACTTGCCACTCAATTCTGGAGACTATTCAAGAGATGGGCAGCAGCATCTTCCTAATAACGACTAAAAATAAAAAACGCGCTTGCTAAGAACAGTGGCAACGACAGCAAATATCCCCCCTGTAAGACAATTTATGGGGGAGGCCTATGTTCAGTACTGAACTTTAATAGGCGGTATTGATAACGGTAACGGGATAAAGCACCTTGACTGTGTATCATTGTAATTTGTTAATTATTGTCGTATACTTCTTGACCGACTGCCACTCTCTCGGAGGATAATAGATAGCTTCGCCACGTAACGCTACATTTCTATCCTAAGATACATGATAATAACTCACCTGCAGAAGCACTGGGGCAGCTCACCGCTGCCATACATTGGCCACAGGAACGGCGTGTTGCCGTACCGACCGAGGCTCATAAGGAATTTCTTGCACTCTTTCACCCCATCTAAGCACGGCATATCTTCTGTACCACCGGCGATTGCGAACAACACGTAATGGATCAGGTTTGGGGTCAAACCCTTGTGGGTCAGATATTCCTTGAACGTTTTGTCATTCCAGTCTATCGACAAATATTTTTTTATTATTATTTCGTATTCATATTAAAAAAAAAATCCAACAGTGAAAACATATATACAAAGCACACAACATGCTTTAACTAAATGTGGTTAATATTATTAAATACAACCATTGTTTAATTCCCTTGAATGACAAACGAACACAGTCCACCTGATGGATTGTGAAAACTGTAGCCCATGGACATCTACATCTAAAATGCAGATGCGTTGTCACTCTTGAGGACTAAGATGGAATGCCTCGTTTCCAGTAAAAAGGGTCTCCAGTTATCTGCACTTAACATACGAAACACAGCTACATTAAGTTGCTATTTTACACTGGTATTCTGTGAGAGAGGCCTTTGCCTGAGAGGGCCGACCTATTCGTAAAACCATAATATATACGTTAATTGCAAATTAAATTAATGAAATTCAGAGAAAACCCTGTGTCCTGCCACGTCATATTTTATGCTATTATTTTACTGCCTATAGATAATGACAACGTAACTACAATCTCGTAAATTACCGTAACAAAAATTTGTGGACTGGTTAATTATTATTTTTTAAAGGTTAGTAACCTCCCTTGGTTTACGGGGCCTTACCTCGCCTTTGAAATAATTGCATGTAATTGTTATATAAATCCTACTGAATTTTATTCCGTAAATAATTATTAATCTTATTGAACTGAGGGAGAAAGTTTACAGTTGTTTCCATGCATTTTCCGATGGTAAATTTTTTTAACATAGTGCAAATTATAAAGTAGTAGTCATAGCTAAAATATCATTGTTACTAAAACAACGAGCACAAAATGCCTACGTACTTATTTGCAAAGAAAAATGGGACAAAATTTTGACTCTGGCTTTGTCAATGTCACTATAAAAATATAAGAGCATAGCTTACAATAAGGTTACGCGATCTATATGTGTAGTTAATTAAAATTATAACAACATAACTGTTTCTTAGAAATTAAACGCCAAATATTACAAAAATTTTGCATTATGCGTGCATTGAAAAAAAATGAAATCGAAAAATTATTATCCTCTGATGACCATATAAGCAAACATTTAAATCTAAGTTCTATGTTAGGGAAAAAAAATCTTCCATTGCACTAGTTTTATATCTCAGCTGCAATCTAATTTGCGCAATGGACTATAAACTAAAAAGAAAAAAATTCCATAAGTTTGCATTAACGTTGTGTAAACTTAATAATCATTTGGTGGTAAAGTTATACAACCTGAAAGAGAGACTTACCCTTGAACTCGTTGTCCATTTCCTCCTCGTTGTATCCGACGATGGAAGTCAGCATTTTCATAAGCATTCGCTTCTCGACAATGCTGACAGCTTCCGTAGCAAATACATCAGCGCGTGAACAAGGCACAGGCATAAGGCGGTCATTTAGCCATGTCAGGACCCGAGTGACGCATCGGAACTCGGCGTAACGAGCGATATTGGATGATATAAGCAACTCCACCAATGGACCACGAGAGAACAGCAACTACAAGCATAATAGAAAGAACATAGCGTTGCTAAGATTGAGTCAAAGTCAAACATTTTTATTCAAAGTTGGCTTTTACAAAGCACTTTTTGAAAGTGAAACACTATGCCTGTGGAGAAAAATTGTGAGAAGCGGCAAGAAACTCACAAGTAGACTATTCTTCTCTCAACAGTACTTATAAATAAAATTGAAGTGTCTATTTGTAATATCAAAATAACAGCTTTATACTAAATGCATAATATACGTTACTACTCGTAATAACAAAAAAATATTATTTTAATTATTTGTCTTTCTGTATGTCTGTTTGTTACGGCTAATATCTGAAATGGCTTGACCGATTTTTTTAACGGGACTTTCACTGGCAAATAGCTGATGTTATAAGGACTAACGCTACTTTCATTTTAGAACAAGAATTAGGGATCCGCGCAAAAAAAAACCATTAAATTCGATCATAATAAATTCAACGCGGACGAATTTTTGTGGCTAGTACGTAAATAAAAAAGTTAAAAGCAGCTCTCATTATGTAATAAAGAAATCACAATTTAACGCAAGTAATTTAAAAACTTTCAAGGATACACTGTATAAATTTCCCAGGCCATCAATTCTAAACCGCGTAAGTTTGCTTCACAAAGTTATTCATAGTTTTATGATAGTATTTTAATCTATTCTACATATAGATCTGTTTAGCAATGTTGATCCAAACAGCCGCTGACACCGCTCATAAAATTGTGATTCACAGTCGAACGAACCATCTCAATGACCAAGTTAAACGAGCACTGTTCTTGCTATTTGTTTATGGACAAAAAAGAGGTCAACGGAAATGTTCCATCTTTAGATACACTTTATATTTACATAAAAAAAGCAATAAATTGATAAATAGTATATCATAATCATAATGGTGAAGTAAAACGTGTGGATCAGGGAGAACAGATACAAATAGAGCCTCATATAGTGATAAGGTTCGTGTTTTACCCATGAGTAAGGCCGATAGTAATATACATATTCAATTATAGCGGCATAAGAGATTCTATCGCCACATTTCGTCTCTAAGCGTCGACTCGTCCTAATATGCGACTATGGTAAATGCCAGAATGAATGGCTTTACCTATAGTGTTATACTATGGGAACTTATGGCTTCCGACAAATGGCGGTAGATCTATATCGTTCAAAGCAGACGCAAAATAAGACGATAACGGCGTCGAAGGCCCGAGGCCGAAGCATCTGGTAAAGTAATTGCCGATCCGCCTGCCCAAGTGTGGCGATTATAACAAATCCTAAAATGAGAGATGTCCAACCCTAGCAACAGGCCTTAACGTTTTTTTTAAATATAGAATAAAAGTGACAAGCGAGCACACAGTCCACCTGATGGTAAGTGGTTTCTGTGGCCCATAGACATCTACATCTATCCTCTATTACGAATCAAGATGCAGATGCGTAGTCACCCGTGAGGACTAAGATGGAATGCCGTTTCCAGTAAAAAGGGTCTCCGGTTCTCTACACTCACCATACGAAACACAGCAGCATTAAGCTGCTATTTTACGCTGGTATTCTGTGAGAGCGTGGTCCTTCCCCGGTCGAGCTACAGCATTCAGCGAGCATTCGTGCTACAACTATACAACTAATATAGCTGCAGCATGGCTCTACCACGTCAAAACGTGTAAAATAATATATCTTCCTTTGTTTGAGCCCATTATTTACTTTATAAGACTATTCTAATTAGCAATCAAGGACGTTTGGCAAATGTGTTGCCGTTAAATGTAGCCATGACGCCTTTGGAAATGAAGACGAATCTAACAGCACATTGCACTAAAATATCCGTCAGACCGTTTTATGCGGCTACAAGACCAGACATAAATACATACATCTATGCAAACACACATACATAGGTCACCTTGCAGCTCTGTCTACTACACATAATAATACATAATTGAATTTGGAATGTTATTTTTTTAAATTGTAGAATTTCATCTTTATAATGTAATATTTTAGCGAGGAATTGTGTGTCAATTATTAAAACTTAAATCGTGAACAATTAGAAATCGGTATGAGCCAAATGCATGACTTCGCCCATATTTCGCACGAACATTAAAAAAACAAGAAGTTACCGCTCTGTATTACTAACGAGCATCAGATTAAAAGACATGCTGACATCTGTTTATGACATCGTATTCCTAACAGGAGAAAAAGCATTGGTTTATTGTTACGATACGACGGAAAAAACTAAATTCCAGTGAATGCGTCTTCAAACTTCGAAGGAGATAAGTGACAACATAAATATTAACAAAGTTAGAAGCGTAGGCAAAAAATTTTTACAGAACAAATTAAGCTAAGTGGTCATAAAAGTTTATCCGTCCAGTGTTCCTAAAAAAGTTTGCGAGAGGCGACATAGAATTTGCATCCTCTGAACCACGATAACCACGACTATGCTTTTTTTCACAACGCGAACAAGATATTTTCGCGACTAGTATTTTTATGTACTGAAAAGGTGCTCATGACTCATTCTGGCCATAGAAGTTGATGACACGCCTATTATGAGATCAAGCCTGAGTAATAAAAATATATTTTTTATGCTTTTTTCACTTGTTTAGACCTGATTAAGTTTACTTGACATCAAACGTGGAAGAATACATGTTTTAAGTGGCTAAATACGTGTTTTTCTATCGGTTTTCCTGGAAATGTAGGGTTAGAGACAATTTTATGCAGATGTTACAAACCTTTTGTACTATTTTTCTTTTCTTTTAAATAAGTAGGATACAGTACAGCTAAATCACCCTGAAAAACCTTGTATTTTATTAAATTAAATTTTCACCGAATAACAACGATCGTAAATATCAAAGAATCAAGAACCTTCATTTGGAAAAAATAAGGTTTATGATTCATTGATATTCAAAAATCTTATTATTCGACGAGAATGTGACTATCCTACGATACCGAAGTTACCGCGGAGACTTCTCAATATGGTTTAGCTGTGCTACGTGTTCTATGGGAAATGTACCAGTGTATAATTAATAATATTATTGTATGTAACATAACAATGATTTTTCATTTTTTTAGAATTAAATCGACAACGTAAGTATATTCCTGAGACAGAGATTGATGACGACGACAAAATTCAATTTCAGGACGTTTAATTAATAAGCTAGATACGGCGCATCTAGCTATAACTAGATGCGCTAGCGCTGTGCCGGCCTCCATTTTTTTTTGCGAACATTTCTTCTGCATGTACGCGTTCGAACTGTTTCAAGCAAAAATAAACCTTATACCAAACCACAAGATCACATGGGTACTTCGTAGGCCCATTCGACCACATGATGGCAGTTTAATCATTTTAACCGAAATTAAGCCATAAGACAAACGCATTGGTTTTTTTTAACAGGAGATGTTCCAGAAACTTGTTTACAACATGATTTCGTGATGAGTGCTATTATTTGTTAATTATTAGAAAGTATTTTTCCACAACATGATTAAAAAACCCACACAGTAAAAAAAAAAGAGTGCCATCCACAAGTTAAAAAAGATTGTCAACCCCTAATATTTTCAAATTCTCAAAATATACAGAAACGAAGGCTGTAGGCATGAACTAATTGTAAAATAATATAATATCTTGCTCAGGATAAATCTTCGAAAAACACAATTGGAGCGATTTATATATGACTAAGATTTTTAAAATGACACGACTCGCGTGTCATATTCCACACAGGAAAAGCTCGATGGCACGGCTGGCTTGCCATCCGCAATGAAACGCTTAATATAATCTGTTACGTTTGAGAAATTATTCTGCCACTGTTGGGAGGCTATGATGGTGCTGTTATTTCCGTTACTTAACATGCACAACAGCTGCATAAGGCACATATGAAAAAACTGAAAATAAGTAATTCCCACTAGTCATTACCAATCAACAGCCCCTACCTCAGCAATCCAACGTTTTTTTAAAAGCTGGACATAATTGTGTCTCACAGTTGGGACTGGTATGCCATAATCGTCATGTTGCCAAGCAATATGGAGATCGTAGTAAATAAAAATACCAACTCCCACCCACACTAAAATATATGGTTTTGCATCATGAAAGACTCCCTGTTTCCGTTTTTTTTAAATTTAATTATATGTATTTACGACCGACTCTAAACAAATATTTATTGCATTTTACTTATTTTAAATAGCGACATCCTAAACAAATAAATAACTACTAAATTGGCAATTTCCAAACACAACTAGGTTTTTCATTAGTGTAATTTATTAACAGAAAATTTAAATATACAATATTTATTACTATATTAAAAGTCCTACTCCCTGCGGTATATTGCCAAAAACGGTGTTTGCGTTTCCTCGCTGAATGGCCTTAAGTATACTAAGCCTTTGAGCGAAAAAAGAACCAGCCCTCTTATCACTAGCAGCGAAATTTATTATAACTTATAATAAAAATTTTATAGTTAATAAGCCTTTATTATCCGGAAATCGGAGAATAAATTAATTCAGATTACAGAAAACATTAAATTATGTGCAAAATAATTAGAAACTCACAAACAATTATTAAAATAGTGACAACAGCTAGCGAGCACGGCTATAAAAAGATTTTCTTTTAAAAAGAAAGTATAAAATATCTCATTTTACATTTTTTTTTCAAATTCTTAAATTATTGGGCAGAAATTCAAAAATGCAAGGCAAAATCAGACTTACCTTTGGTGTCATATCAATATTGAATTTTCGATATTCTGAAGCAAAGTTGGCTTGACTCCATATCTTCTTGGGTGGCTCTGTTTTTCCATCCTCTGCTTCACCTTCTTTTTTCTCTTCTTCTGGTGGAGATTCTCTGTTAAAAACAACTTTATTGAAAATGAACATTTTACATCAATTTAAAATAAATTATAAACATTCATAACCTGATTTTACTCTCTGGTGAGGAGTAATTTAGTGTTGTGGTATGTACTACTTACATGGTACGGAACATAGTTACTATTTTACAAAGGTCAACTATGACTTCAGTATTTATTGTATAATATTTAAACAAAGAGCACAATCATAGATGTAGACAAAAAAGGGGTGTACCCTTACATATTGACAATAGCCAATGTCAGAATTTGTCACCAGTCCATGCTTAAGTAATAAGAGGTTACAAATTAAGATCCCATTTCAGCATTCTTTTTATAAAAAAAGGGCGACAAACGAGCACACTCTCCACCTGATGGTAAGTGGATGCTGTGGCCCATAGACATCCACATCTATCCTCGTTCAAGAATCAAAATGCAGATGCATTGTCACCTCTAAGAACTAAGATAGAATGCCTATTTTTCCAATAAAAAGGGTCTAGTTCTCTACACTTACAATAAGAAACAATCATTAAGCCGCAATTTTTCTGTAAGTATGGTCTTTCCCCGGTCGAGTCAAATGTTTGTAAAACCATAAATAAATATAATTGCAATAAAACCAATTATAATGACAATTATAATGATTTTGTCATGCTAAACTTTAACCTCTTAATTCTTGACATTTCGGGCATTTTACAGTGCCCATGGTCATGGGGGGTGTCAGGTGTTTAACGTCCTGATGTCATAGGTAACGGAAGCTACTTTCAACTTTTAATTATTAATTTTTGGTCCAATCTACCATGTCGACTATGAGTGCTGTAAAGTTCCCGAACGTCAGAAAAGTTAAAATTAAATAAGATAAAACCCGCAAAATCAATTTTATTCCAAAGTACCAAAAAGCATTTGTACAACTATAGTAAATTTATTTTCTATGATGCATTCAAAACATTACAGAATATCATTAGAAACTATACTCACTTCTCAATGTACCATTGCTCTATTAAGTTATAAACTTGGACTTGCTTCTTAGGATCAGACGTAACCTCTTTTATGAATTTTTGAAGTCCATCAAAGTTGTAGGAGGCCCACAGTCCACCATAATGGTCACTGGAGTCCAGGTGTAGAACATTTTTGTGTATCCTACTACAGGCAGCAGCCACAATTGACTCCACCATTCCTTGGTGTTAAGGATAAGATAAATTAGTTCAATGAACAAGTTATACAAACAGTTTATACGAACACAATTTTTTCTTGATAGTGTTATATAATGATTATTTTTTATTTTTTTAATAGCTCATGAACTCCTATAAGTGTTTCCAACACAATTCATCACAAGTTTCTTCATCATGTTAAGTCTACATCACATACATTTTATTAATACTGTTACCTAAAGAAGTGATACTAACAATACAATGTATAATTTTGTTTGATAAGTTTATTAAGAACTGAATCTTAAGGTAAGGTAAAGGTACTTTGAACTTGTAAGAACTACTACTAAAATTACTTGGCAAACTAAATTTAACTTTAACAGCTTTCTAGACTTCTAATACTAAGTACACAAGAAGTCAGTTCACATAAGACATAAATTAATTTCTTCTTATATTTGAGATATTTGTATGAAAACATTATTTCTTGCTTCTGTTTTAAAGTTCTACCTTTATGTGTTTTTGCATTGAACAATGACTAGAGTAAGGAAAACCAGACATTTATCTCTTTATTTATTTTGTTTAATAACAAATATTACACTCATACTTTTGTTAATTCCTAAAACACCACATGGTTAGTGCTACAACATTTCTTACAATCTTAATATTATTACATTAACAAAAATATACTTTATAAAACTAAAAAAGAAGAATACAAGAAAAATTTAAGAAACTGATTAATTTTGTGTCAAAAACATTAAAAGAGTCAAAATCTGGGTATCAGAGTTGGCAGACATCCACAAGCAAGAAGGCTTTCAATTTTAATCTTGGGAGAAAATAGTGTACACTTTACTTTGGACTAATGTCGTTGTAGATTCCAATGTCTTTAAGACATTAGTTATATATTACCAGATGGTGTTTATGTAATCACATGTTTAGTAAAAAAAACTATATGCTACTATATACAGTAAATATAGAAAATCCAGTAAAAAATGATATATTTTTAAAATTAAATAAAGTTTAAAGAATTACGTTAAGCCCTGAGTCCCATGAAGCTGTAACCACCAACTGGCTAACAGCACTAACATCACAGAAAATAGAGATGTGTTTTTGGCTGGATGTCTTGTCTGTCTTGAGGATGAGGTTGAAATTTAAGGTATAAACAGCTGCTGGTTTCATGGTCGGTCAGAAAGCATATCTTAGATATAAACTATTATCTTTTTTACTACATGCTAATAATAGTAAGATAGAACTTAAAAATGTCTAATGATTCATTTGGAATTAATCTGAATGGTCCAACATTTAAATACTCAATATTCATATGGACTTAAATACACTTAAAAGTCCATCGCTGTACACATGTTGTGTATGATTTACCTCAATAGGGGGAAACTTTGCCATATTTGCCACATTTGGCTGGCGGATTGGCAAATGCTGTTTTCTTTATTATTTTTGAGTAGTTATCATGAAGATGCTGCTGATCTCTTGTTTCAGTTTCTCTCTGTCACCTCTTACGACACCCATGGGTTGAAAAGGGGTAGTGAATTATCATAAGCCGATACTAATTATCACGGCCCTAATTATCTGTAATGCTATTTTTCAATATCTAAACATTTTTAGATTAACTTTGGAGTTTAATGTAGAAAGTGACCTGCGTTTTTCATATAATTAAGGTTAAATAATCGACACGTACAAAGGCATGACGAAGTAAGCAAAAAAGAATAAGATCGATACTAAAGTAGGCTAGTCGCCATCACGCCCGGTATCATTTTATAAATAAATTTTATCTTACCTGTGCCCACTACGATGACCTGGAAGTCGGTCGGTAAATCGTCATCCATTTTAATGCGTTTTTATTTTTATAGAGAAATAATTATTTTACTAAATTTACTAAAAAGTGTAATGTCCAATCCCTTCACAAAGGATTTTCACTCTTTGACTCTGACACTTGACATCTGATGATTTGACTGGCGCTGTCAAGTGTCAAAGCTATTTCTATGGTTTTGACTTTTTTTTAATTTTGTATGTGTACGTGACCATGGATACAGAGTCCTTTAGACGAAATATTAAAAGTTCAATAGTCCGACGTGTATTTTATTCACAAAATTCTTCACAATATGCTGACGTGTCACATTGTCAAACAGTAAAAAAAAATCGTATCTCAACGCGTATAAACAATCTTGAAGGATCTCTACCTTTTAGCCGAAAATTGTTTAGCAAATTATCACTTGCCAACTAACATTTCACGGAATTTTATTTCTAAGAATAATCATTTGCCAATTCATTACATAATTTTGTTTTATTTCCCAACCTAACAGTTGCCAACTGTACGTTTGGTCTGCCTTTTATAATGACACTTTACAAAAGGTCAACCTTCTAGTAGTGAATGTTGTTTTCATTTGGGACAAATCATATACAGGTTGTTATTATTATTAAAATATTTTTTCCATAATTATTTTTCTAATGTAGCACATATTCAAGTGCCCTGTGTAGTGAAACAAAAGCGATTTGGTTCTGGCTGGATTCTGATTGTTGGTCGATGTTCTAACCTAACCTAACCAATTCCTTTCGATTTCACCTAAACTTCGTTCCACACTTTGAAATTTTGCAAAATTGTATGTAGATTTCTGTTGCTATACTTATTACAAAATTTTTATTTATTTCAGGCAAGTTCAAGACAAGGGTTACGCCAAAAGATATGAAAATATAAAAAATTAGATTATTTTTTTACCATTATATAAATGTACGAAAAGGGAACTGTTACACAGACAAAACGTTATTCGCCTAAAAGTTGTCTGGCCTAGTGAAGGATTTGGCAAATGATAAGTGCCCTGAACATATTGTGTCATTATAATAATCAGCCAATAATTCTACCAAATGAAACGTTATCATACAAAAATTTGACAATCGTTAGATGTCAAAGTGAAAAATAGGTGAACCGTTGGTTGGTAAGTGATAATCGGCCAAACAATTTTCGGCGAGAAGGCAGGATCCCAATCTTGAGATTTATAACACCGTCATATAACTTGTAAAATTGTTTCCGCTAATAGTTCACATGCGAAAAAATTTAAAACACAGAATCAAACCTCATTTATGTATCAAAATCCGGTCAAGTTTCTACCAAAAACCCTAAACGAAAACCAAACCCAAAGAGAAAGGGTTGTTTTAGTTCAAAGATATTGTACTGCATAGATAATATATACTTGTACAGTTATTACCAAAGAGAATATAATCACTACGATTACAATTTTATAATAGTTAATTGAGGCAGGCAAAGGTTTTAGACCATATAGCTTACATTTATTACTAAAATTCTTCGCAATATACTGATGCGTCATATGTCCACAAGTTTTTAGATTTTTACGACTCGCAGCGGACAATTGCAGACGTTAGTTCTCAAGCCACCCAAGCAAATAAACAAACTTTAGATTTATATTACTATCGAAGCACTTATAACATCGTTTTCGCTAAAAGTGTACATGCACAAACATTTAATACACAAAATTAAACCATTTTTACTTATTAAAATCCACTTCAAACCACTAATTAAACGACAATACAGGAGCAATAATCTGTCAGAGATCATGCTGCCACTTATAAGTACTCCTCCCATGGTTGTGACACTTGTTTCTGCTTGCTGCACAAGGACCTAATACTTCGACTTCAATTCCACGCCTTAGGTCCACACCTTAGATAAATTATCATACTGGATGGAAATATACATCATGTATAGAATACCAGCTAAAAATCTCACTGAATGTACAAATGTTACAAATAATTTTAACTGATTTAGTGCGGATGTTGGATTATTTTTCTGTGGGGTATGACACGCGAGTCATGTCATTTTAAATATTGTATTAATCCGCTCAAATTGCTTTTTTGGAAGATTTATCCAGAACAAAATATTCAATATTTTGCAAGTAGTTCATGCCAACAGCTTCGTTTCCAGATATTTAGAGAATTTGAAATTTTTAGGGATTGACAACTTTTTGTAACTTGTAGATGGTACTCTTTTTACTGTGTGGGTTTTTAAAATCATGTTGTGGAAAAATACTTTAATAAGTAACAAATAATAGAAATCATTGTGATCGCTCACAAACTCAAGTTGTAAACAAGTTTCTGGAGAACAAGTCTCCTATTAAAAAAAAACAATGCGTTTGTCTTGTTGTTTAATTTTGCTTAAAATGGTTGAACTGTAGTCTTATTACTATCATATGGTCGAATGGACCTACGAAGTATCATGTGCTCTTATAAGGTATAAGATATGGTATAAGGTTTATCTTTGCTTGAAACAGTTAGAACGAATTCATGCATAAAAAATGTTCACTAATAAATTTAATAGTCTTTATTCATCCGCCGCCGTACAGCGCCGGCGCATCTGACTATTCCTTTTTTCCTTTTGAAAACACTTTTGCTATTGTTACTATTTAAACATTTTCAGATCGACTTTACTTTTACATTTGTAGGGGAAGAGTGGGTAATGGGAGTCAGCGGGTAATGGTGATCACCTACTTATCTACAAAACTACGTGTCCCCGAGTGGCGTAAATGGCATCTATGCCCCGTTATGTGCCTACCACCACTGTTTCGAATGAGTCGCACCAGTAACCGCTGCGCGTTTTAAAATGATAGCTGCTTTTTGTTTTAGTGCCCCGCCGATGTAAATTTTTGTCGAAAGAAAACAAACGGTAAGTTTAGAATTTCTTAATGGATCTAAATGAGACTTTTATGTGTAATTAGCATTCATAATAGCGATGTACACCTTTGATTACCATAATAATTTTTTTATTTCTAACTTTACTCTCATTAGTGTAGTTGTGGGCAATGGGAGTTAGGGTACTCCCGTTGCCCGCGATTGATTATTATAACTAAAGAATGTAGTATACTATGCCTATAGACTTAATTTACAACATGTTAGGTATATACTGCTTTTTTGTTTTGTAGATGCCGAATGTACGGGTGAGAATTACCGAAAAGACTACCTGGTCTACCGATTGTTTGAAAAAAGCTGTCCAGCTTATTGATCAATAGGGTTTCGATTCAATATTTTTTTACGAAAAGCTGCTATAATTATTGATATACCATTTACAAGTCTAAAAAAGAGATTTAAAAAAAATCTAACTAGAGGCTACGTCTTGGATGATATACTATCTTCAGTTCCGAAGTTAAAGACGAAATAGCAAATCTGGTGAAAAACATGGCCAATATTTTTATAGATGTACCTCTATTCAGATAAGAAAATGGGAAAAGAAAAAAGACATGGAAAGGTAAGGTTAAAGGAAAAAATACTAAGGTGCAAAAGGAGGGCTCTGAAAGAGCAAAGAGGCAAGTTCTCTAGGAATCAAACAATACTTCAGTATCAGACGTCAACATTAATGGTCAGATGAGGATGATGACACAGAAGACGCAGGAAACAGATGTCTAGTATGCGGCGAATTTGGAAGTAACAACGAGACGTAGTGGGTGGCACTCAGCCAAAGGTTATGTCTGCTATAACTGTTAAATTTTGTTTGACTCTGATTACCCACAGGGTGACTAACATTGCCCTTACTTCAGTGCAATGGGGGTCAAATCTGTTATTTTTTTGGATCGTATTTATTTCCAAAGCTGATTGCCAAATTGATTAAAACTGATCTCAATTGATAGCAAAATAAGTAAATTTTGTAATTATGTAGTTTCAATAAAGATTTTATTGTGAAATAAGCTTTTATTTGAATTCTCGCTTAAGTGACTCCCATTACCCTCTTTTATCCTATAACATTAAATAATATATAACATTTGTAAATACCAATGAATAATAAACCTTTTTTTTTCAAATTAAAGTTCTTGTTTGTTTGATATTTACAAACGTTATTATTAGGTGAAAATTTAATTTAATAATATAAAATTCAGGGTGACATAGCTTTACCTACTTATATAAATGATTTATTTATATAAAACAAAAAAAAATATAAAAGGTTTGTAATCTCTGCATAAAAATGTCACTCTCCATTTCAAGAAAAACACGTAGTAAAAACAAGTATCCTTCCGTTTGCAACCGATGTTTAATGTCAACTAAACTTAATCATTGGACCTAAACGTTAAGTTGGAGAAGTCACGTCTAATGAAGTCAACGCTCCGTCCCCCTCGTGCTCTAATCCAAAGTCTCGAAACCTTTCAGCTCGAGCTACGAAACCGTTTTCAGTGCCTAGGAAATTGCAATGCAGTGGACGATATGAATGACAAGCTCGTGGAAACTGTCCATGCGGTTGGAGCTAAATTTTGCAATACCCGCCGCAGAAGGACACAAAAACTCTCCGATCACACTTTTAATCTCATGGCTGTTAGATGGGATACGAAGCTGCAGTCTTCAGTAGATTTGACAGCATACAGGCAACTGAACAGACAGATCTCCAAATGCATGCGGCGGGACTTACGCAACTTTAATACTGCTCGTATTGAAGAAGCGATTGAGCGGAACCAGGGCTCCAAAGTCTTTGCTAGAGATCTGTCTGCCAGAAAGAGCCAACTGTCGAACCTGAAGACCGAGTGTGGCAGCGTCGTTTCCGGGACACCTTTTCGGTTGAGAGGTTCTATGGGCGAGCGCTCTTTAAGAACGATCTAATTGTCTCGCCCACACTCGTGGGCTCATCGAAACCGGTTCTCAGGTAACACGGCACGGTCAGCGCGGTGATTTGCAATTAACGTTGGGTCGTAATTCATCAATTAAAACTTGTATACCATTAAACATATACCTATTTAACATTATTGTCAATGTTTGTAAGCAGCCATAGATTAGATGATTGTATTATTTATTACCTTGTATTATATGCGAGACTGTAACTTGCGGACAAACCTCACGG